TGGGGCTGAAGCAAAAGGTCAAGTCCATCTGCCACAGGAGACCAGCCTATGGCTTGACTGCTGCTGCCCCAGTAATCAATAGGGTGCATGTTGGAGAGGCAAATCTGCAACTCACAGGAAAGTCATCCCAGAAGAGCACAACACCCTCCCATTCTGAGTTTGCTTACTACCTGGTAGATCAGGATGGGTTACACACCCATCTCCTCATCCTTTCATTCACCCAACAGGCAACACTGTGCTCTAACTAGTTATTCTCAAGATCTCAGTCTAATTCAATCCATCTTGGAGTCTGGTCATGGGATCTGATCATTAACAAGACAAAGTAGAGCATGGTGGTAAAAAAAATAAATAAAAAAGCAAAGAAAGGGGAACAGCCAGTACTGATGGGTAAGTGAAAGTGAGAAAGGGTTTTCAGGAAAGGCATCCACAGAGAACAAGACATTTGAATAAAGACCTATAGTGGGTGAGAAGACAATCTCTACTCCTTATTATAATAAATTCCTTATCGGAAAGCTGCTTATTGCATGCAAAATCATACCGATTAATACTACACCCATCTGCAGTTTTGTCATGAAGATTAAATGGGAAACAGGGACAGTGCACTTCGCACAGTGCCTGGCACACGAGGAATGCTATTGTCTTACTGAAGTCACAAATCAGTTATACGGCTCCCCGACTCTGCTCACCCTGGGAGCCCAAGAAAGCACCCGGTATTCTACTAGTCAGATGCCTAACAAGTGATTGATTCTGGAAACAGCACAGCAACAGCCTCTAAGATGAATCAAGAGCATGGGTCACTGGCATGAGACCACTCACAGCGGGAGGCAGGTGTCCAACACCCAGGTGGTGAGTGGGGTGGGCTGCGGGAGAGGGGCATGTGCCTGTTCAGAGACTCCACTCTAGCCACCTCATGTCCACCTGGCTGCAAGTGTTTACTTTTCTTCTGTGAATGGATAATTTTCCATAACTCTGAGGTTTTTAAAGTTCTAAAAAAATGTTGAGATAAAGAAGATAATCAAGCAATGCATGGAAAACCTGTATTCCAGGCCTGAATGCAGCTTAGTCCAGCAAATTTTCCTTAGCTCTCTCTCTAATGATTTAAACATCCATTGTCACTCATTTCTGCAGAAGCACATTCGCAGGAGGAACGAGTGTGAAGAACAGTAGCCTTCAGAGTAAGAAGCCACTTCCTTACATGGAATGTGCTATGATCTATTTTCTTTTTACACCTGGAAGAAAAAGGATCCAATTGCTAACCTAAATTCTCTCTTTAGAAAGTAAACACTCAAGCTGTACTCTCTTACGACACTGTTCAGTTTCAGACCCATAAAAGTACTAAAAAACAAAGTTCTGTGGGTCAAGCAGCCAGATACAACAGACTATTGTTTCAAGGTGCTTCGGGGACCTACCTGGCTGAACCATACTCAAAATATTTTCTCTTTGGTGGGAGATAACACAATTCCACCTCCACGCCCCAAACCACCAATTGCCTGGAAGCATTGTCAGCAATGGCCTTACACTTTCCTTCCACGCTGATCACAGAGAATATACTTAAATGCCTGAAAACAAAACCACACTTATTCCGAATTCACTGCTAGTTCTTTGATTTGGCAAAAGTTGCCTTTACTGTATTTTTTGGCTTTCAATGAACACAAAATCGGGCTAAGCATTTGAACCCAACTTTTCATTCTTTCTGTTATCACTGTTCTCGATAAATATCAAGAATCTTCCCAGCCTAACCACTTACATTTGTTATGGTTCTCCTTTCAAATGAGTTACAAAGAAATGGTTTATAGTAGGTGTCGGAAAAGGTTATGGGATTGGAGTCTCCTGTCTAACAACATAACTTGATTCTTTGACTATGTGGACCATAAACCTATAGGATTCACAGTTCAGTAGATTAAGAAGTCTCCTTCCAACCTTGTGGTTCTTAATTTTTGCTAATCATGGAATTGTTTTGAAACTCAGAGTAGATGCTAATAATCACATACTCAAGTTTAAGGTACAACTGTGAGAAGTAAGAAACAACGGAACATTCAGGGGAAGAAAATACAGGAGTGGAATATATAGAATTAAAATGATAAGGTTTTGAGTTTTTCCTATCTGATGAAAAATGGGCAATGCCAAAAATATATCTACCTGATTTAAAAAAATTGACTATTTCTCAGAGAAGTTTTAGGTTCCCAGTAAAATTACTCTCCACCAACAGTCTACCTCCTTATCACGCAGGACCCTACACAGACATTCCCAAGGCAAGTACCACTTACATTTGGGTTTGCTCTTGGTAGAATTCTGTCTGATTTATCATCCCCTTGTCTGGACAAGAGAATTCATGTTGGCAACCAGGAGAAAGTGGGCTCTCAGCAGGCCCCCTCATCCCTCTTGTTCATTTGCTGAGCAAGTTTCCAAACACATTTATCACAGGTGGATGATCAGTTTGAAAAAGGCACATGCTCAGATGCCAAATGCCCACCTTTTTCATATGACAAAGGCAGAATGGCCAGTTCTGACCACCCTAGTCTCTTAATTCCTTGCTGCAGCCCTCAGATTCCTGTTTTGGTGTTCTTTTTTTCTTTTCATTTTGGCACAGAAGAACCATGGTATAGGTGAGAGGTGCAGTGGGTGAGAGGATTCACTAGAGACAGAGTGGGGAGCAGAACATGTGGATCTACTGAAATATGCCGCTGAGGGGAGCAGCTGGTGAGACAGGAGAGGTTCTGCTGTGCCATGTGTGTCAGCTCCCTGGCTGGGGATGGAATCAGACCACAGCATGACAGCACTGAAACTTAACCCCCAGGCCACTAGGGAGGCCCCCTCAGATCCTAGGATTAACATGGCTTCAGCTGCTTTAAAGAAGTGGGTAGATGTGTGTGAAGTAGCCACTCCTCGGGGGTGATTCCAGTGCTTGGTACATCTGCCCCACAGCTAAATCCCCATCACCTCAGTAGGCTTCACCCTATACTACAGCCAGGGGCAGGATGAGAACACAGCTACTGCTGCACACGTCAAGCCATGTCCCACAACATGAGCTCTGGTCAGGTTAATCCCATAAATAAGGAAAGCACTGCAGAGCTTATTCTAGAAAGAGACCAGCATAACTAATAATCTCCAATTGTTAGCAAGATGTTGAATTCTAATACTGTATATCAGCACAATAATCTAAATTACCCACTGTATTCTTTGCAGGATTATCGAGTGTCAAGAAAAACAACACTTAGTCCATACCAAGTTTCAAAGACAGCTAAGCGCAGTAGTTCACAAAGCAGTAGATAAACACATTTTAAAATTCAAGTCTTTACCAATTACTAACAAAATCAGAATCGCAAGCAAATTAATAGTGACACTCAAAATGCAGAACTTGATTAATATGCTATAGAACCTGAAAAATCACTAAGTACAAAAGAATAAAAGTGACCATCTTTAAGCTGGTTTATTCTGGAACACAGGTGAGCAGTTGAGGTCACCGGAGCTTTTTGTTGTTGTTTAACCCAGTTTTGCACGGCAGTTAGTACCCAAACCACTTTTCAGTGAAGGAAACGCTGATCCATGATTCCGAGCCAGCTGAAGAAGCAAGCTATACCCAGAAAGCAAGCTATACTCCAGTCTGCCTGCTGGAGACTGTCCCACCTGCGACTCAGAGGGGCTGCACGCCTGGGGACGGGACGCCTTCTCCCGAAGAACACAAACATTCAAGTACTGTCTTGTCTTGATGTAAAACTTGAACCTCTAAAACATGGAGGTTTTTTTTTTTTGTATTCTTAATTCTTTTTTTTAAAAAATAATATAATAGTTTATTTTTACATCATTTTGTGCATTTTTCCTTCTCAGTTGTACTCCCTGTGAACTTCCCATCACCATATCACCCATGTGCCATCACCATAGTCCAGTGCATTTCCTCCCCACACTGTTTTTGATCCCATTCCCCACTCCACCCCGATAAAGTGTCTCTGGTATATAGCTGTTCACAATGATTATTATTTTCTTGCCTGGTCTGTTATAACATGGAGTCTTTTTAGTGAGTAGTTTTCCTCTCTCTCCCAACTTTTGATCTCTTCCAAACCCCTCCATCTGCTAGTTCCAGTCCTCCTTTGCATGCTCTCTCCTTCAGGAGCCAGATCTGGCATCAATGCTATGTCTGCTCAGGATCCTGTATGTTATGAGTTCAGCGATTTCTCCCAGTATAGTCACTGACTCAGGATGAATGTGGTACCTTCTCCTTAGCAGGGCTCCACTGTGGTGGGAGCACTTCCTGCTTGTGCTACTTTTTAGGCATGTTATCGGGGTCGTTGATAGAGCCAGGCAGAGCCTTCAATTCACTTCTTCAAAATATAGTTAGGTTTTGCTAGCCTACATTCCCAATCAGAACTGAAAGGAGGGTTCTGGGACTATTCTCAGTTTAATTAGTCCTCAAGTTACCAAACTATAACAAATCATTATGAACATAAACGTTATGAACATAACCACCGCTGTATCATTACAAAACACAAAGGTTGCAAATGGGAAATGAGGAGTGTTATCTCAACAATTTACAACTCAGTTTGCTTGGGGGGTAATAAACACAACAGGTGAGAAAGCACACTGCTGAGAGAAAGGCCTATCAGAGGCCTGACTGTCAAATTTCTGTTGACAATGGTGCAAAGAAACCAAGACTTAAGTTTTACAATGGTCTAGAAGATCTACACAAAGCACAGTCACAATAGGCATATGCTACTGTTACAGTTTTCCTGTAGGTCTCCCACGTGTCCCCAAAGTCACCCAATTCTTGATTCATTCAGTACCAATAGCAAAATCTCTGTATTTCACCACCATAAAGTCAGGTTATCATATTTGTAAATCCCCTGAGCTATGATTTCAGTAGGAATCATTTTCATGAATACAAACTGTGAGGTCTGAAATGAGGAGTGTCCCTGAGTGTCCTAGAGTCTCTGTTTAAAACAGAAAGCCGCCCCTCCTCTGCCTTATCTCACAAGGACTGTCTGACCTCTCATGGGTTATCTTACCTTCACACGTACGGCCATCTGCAGAGATCGAGAAACCCTGTTCGCAGATACAGTGGAAAGAACCTTCTGTGTTTAGACACTCTCCGTGAGGCCCGCAGAGTCCCGTCTGTTCACATTCATTAACATCTGGAATGAGGAGAGTTCCAAATACTTGAAAAAAAAGTCTTTTATCTCCTATGACATCAGACATACAGTAAGTAAAATCTGAAATGCTTTGTGAGAACTCTCAATGTTAATTCGGACTCCGAGTGCAACATACTACTAGAGAACTATGCTTGGCTACCACAACATTTCTCAGTTGTGCTCTATCTCTAGAGTTACAGAGTGACTGGCTTAAGAGTCTCCTTGTTAACTGGGGTCATAACTATCACAGGCCCTCAGTTTCATCCTAGCGGTGGCCTCACATGTCATTTCTCTATCTTCCAGAAGCCTGCTAGCTAGTGCCTCCTTGATCTCTTCCTAAGTAGGTTCCTCAATACAGCCTCTTGGAAGCTCATCTTTAATACAACTAAACACTTACTGAAAGCTTCCTGCAAGCAGGTTGGGCAGGATGGAGTCCATATCCTGACACAGTTACTAACAAAACAGGAGAGGCAGGAACCAACATGAACCTTGTGAAGCTGAATGGGAACGTAAAAAGATACAGATAATGAGCCCCGGCCCACCTAGTACCCTCTGGAACTGCCCAGCCATCAGCCCTAGAGTCTTCTCAGAAAGATCACCCTCAGCTCTGCATCCAGCTTGCCCTGGGCCCCTTTTTTGCCATGCTGCTCTCATTGTGCAACACAAGTTCTGACAATATCATTGACTCGTTCACCTTTTCATAAGAATCCTGAGCTCCTTCCCCTTCCATCTGCCACAGAATTGAGTATAGCTGGCTTACTCATTGCTGAATCAAAGTAAGAAACCAAGTAGGTTTCTTCATAGTTTAATAATCGTCCCAGTTGTGCAAGTGTCACTAATGTTAAAATATTTCAAGGCAGAGGAATAAATCATTTCTCAATATGATTTCACTCTGCATTCAATTCCTCACTTAAATACAATCTGGTTGTTTTCTATGTTTGCTCTCTACTTACTGATCATTCCTTAGACTGATAAAAGACTTTTTCGAACTCTAGCCTCTTATCTTTTAGTTCCACTATTTCTTTCCAACCTGATTTCTAAAATTACCTTTATCCAGGCAGCAGGATGCCACAAAGTTCCACTAGTCTTGGGATCAAGTCCAAGACCTACATCCATCTCGCCGTGCCCTAAAGGTGATCTGGAATCCGTGCCCTACTTCATCCTATGCCTCAATGTGGCTCTTTAAAAGCTGCCTGCTTGGCAACCTCACACGGGGAATAATGCGCATAAGTGTCAGAAGTAACTGATTAACAAATAATTATCTAGAAAGTCTGATGACAGGAACAGAAGACAAATTCCCAGACTCTTTTCCAGGAAACCACTAAGAAAGAACAACATGAATATCTGGATCTAGAGAAACATATGCATTCAATTTGGGTTGCACTTACTGCGGCATTTCTAAACCATGCTGCTAAGAACTCAGCTGAAAGCCAGACTATATTTAAGTTGGGTTTCTTTCATGGGTCCGAGGTACCACAGAAAATCACAATTTGGCACGTGTATGTCAGAACGTGAAACCCAAGTGTGCTTGGAATCACCAACCCACACTGCCACATTCTCAAAGAGGTGATTCACAATGGCTTTCCAGGCTGTCAGGGTGTCAATGTTAGTCTTGCAGCAGAAAAAGGCTCAAGCACACCTCCAGATGCAATGCCTTACTGGATATGAACTATCTTCATCCTGAACGTGAAACTACCTTCAGAGTGTGCGGTGAGGTTTAAAGTGTGTCCCTATCACATGTTTTTATTTAAGAATGTCTGGTAGCGGCTACCACTGCCACCAATGACCTTTTCTCATCGGACAGGCTGCAATCTACACTTACATACAGAATACTGGCCATGGCTGGGGCTGTTAGAGAGCAGCACTCTCTTAACTGTAAGCAGAGTGAAAATCACATGGTTGCCCTCCAAGGACACAGTAAAATTAGTTGAGTGTACCCACCCCTACAGACAGCCTCTCAATGGAGAAGGCAGATGATGGAGAAGATTCATTGACAATATTCTTTGAATGGCTGGTACTGACACCTATCCAGTGATGCTTTTCATCATTTGTTTGCACTTAAAATTTCAGGCAGGCATATTGAGTGAGTCTGGGACACAGGAGTCACCAGTGTGATAGGGAATAAAGTCCATTTAACAGTGATTGATAGTAAAACATATGTCTGGAATAATCACACATCTGAGAGTTGTCAAATCACAAATTCGAATGTAATGTACTGTGAAGAGATAGCAGCACAATTAATAATCAGATGACTAAATTAACTTCATGTTATCTAACTCTTGAACTTTGTTATAAATTTACAATATGAAATCATGGTCCGGTTAGTCAAGATTTGGTTTTGCCTCTAAACAGTCAAAAAGCTGTGCCAAGAGTAATTAGAAATCACCACTTTGAAGTAAAAAAAAAGTGTAATGAAAATAGCAGGGTTTTTTTGTGGGGGGGGAAGGGGGGTGTTGCATCTCTTAGTATTTATACATAGGTTAAGATTCATATTTTGCCAGGATATAAAAGCCTTAAAATGGAAACATGTTCAATAAACTTATAATTCAATTCTTCCTTATTGCATTAAATCTAAGCACATTTTAATTTCTATGATAGAATAAATGAATTTATGTTCACCTTATTTCATCACAATGGCAAATAAATTATATCACTAGGCACACACATCAGTATACTTAAAATTTGGAATTCGTAGGAATTGATTTTAAAGGACCCTAGACAAAGGCCTGACTTTTTGTTTTGCATCTCAGTGACACACAGCGGGGTGTGGACAGTCACAGCAGCAGAGAAGATGAGAACAGTCTGGTTCCACCTCTTAGTGAGCAGATGCCAACTTCCCCTTCTTTGGGACATGTGGGAGGAGAAAGCACTTAGACACCTGGTTTCTTTTAATTTCCACACCAACAATGATTCAATGTGTAATACTGGGAAAAACCATATTTTTTTCTTTTGGCTATAAACATAGGAATAATTACTGGAGTAACACAGGGAAGAGACAGGGTGATACTGGATTCAAAAAGCTCTACCACTTAATAAAAAGGATAACTTCTCTGGATATACAGTGATCAGGAAATGCTACTTCTTAAATTCTGTGAGAATTAAATGAAGTAGCTACAGAACTGGGCACACTGGTGTTCAGTTAAGGCTATAGAGATCGGAGCTGTGTTCTTATTAGTAGTAAGTCTACTGTGGTGGTGTTTGGCAGATTAAATTGTGACAGCTTGAAAAATATAAAACAAGGTCCTCTCTAATATTAACCATGAGATTTTTTTTTTTTAGGAATAGATCAAGTTGGACACTGGCTAAAAGCAGAGACTAGGAAAAAGTAAGTATCAGCTATGGGGCAGTATGACGTAGTTCCACGAAGGGTAGAAAAACAAAACAAAACAATAATGTAGAATCAAATACCCAGGTTGACCCATGAAAGGACTGGCAAACTCTAGGGGATTTCAGTTACCACATGAAACACACAAATCCAGAACACAGTTCCAAACACATGAGCCTCAGTTAACATGCTGCCAGCAAGGCAAGAACTTCCTGTACTTGATACAAACCCAAGAGAGATAGTTCAAGGATACAAACTGGCATGGCTTGCTGTTTACTAGTGGTAAAGCCACAGATCACCTTAGGAAGCAGCACAAGAAGTGAAGAGCTATGAAAATTATGAGTTTGAAAAGAGAAAATTACCTTGACACCCTTTATGGTCGTTTAGCTGGAATCCGTCTGGACAGGTGCAATCATATGAGCCTTCAGTGTTAATGCAGTCTCCTCCCTGGCAAACACTCTTGTCTTCCAAGCATTCGTTGATATCTACAAGTCAATTTTTATTTATTATTTTTCTTGAAGCAACACTGGGTTACAGCACCGCCTGTGATTTCAAGGCACAGAAACACAACTCCTGAGTGCTACGGCCCCTTCCTCACCCCCACAGGCTGCCCTCATTCCTCAGTGATGCCCCACCATCTGCTACACCCCCTCCCCACTGAGCTGTGTCCTCCCCTCTCCAACTGGGTGCCTCAGTCCTGCAATCAGATTTCTAGGGCTGCTGGTGACAGACCAATTTTTAAAAGTTAAAAGACTAAACTGTATCTGAGAAAATTTGACATTTTCTACAGCTTTACATAGAAACATCACACCAAGGTACATTGGACATATTTTTTTTTCTTTACATTTTACATGATTTTCAATAGATGTGGGCTTTTTAATTTTGGATTTTTTTAAAAATGGAAAACTTAGATGGGATTTTTAGCTTTGAACAATGTTTAGAGTTCTAGCAACACATGAAATTAACTAGACGAGGAAAAGTCAAAACACTAATTTACTTGGTGATGTAGCTTGTAATGACAGAATAAAAACACTCTTTAAATAAACATTGTTAAGAATATCTGGAGCATCTACCTATACAAAACACTGCATCAGATGCTATAGGAAAAATGTTCAACTGTCCTGCGTGATCCCTGCTCCCTAAGAGAAATATTTGTTTAAAAAGATAAACTGCATTAACAAAAATAAGTACATAAAATATTGCTTTAGTAGTCCAAAACAATTTAACTTAAAGATTGCCCAAAACATAATTATTCATCAAAAGGATAATACCAACTTCACGTGTCATATGAAGACAAAGGAGAGACATTCTAAAGGTCAAAGGCAGCTTCGTGTAACAGAGGGGATTTACTGGGAGTCCTTACAGAGGGTGGAATGTGGAGGGAAGAAGAGGGGCTTTGCAGGGAAGGGATTCAGCAAGATCAAAGCCCCCTTGAAGTCACTTACTCAGCAGCTGTCACAAGCAGGTTTGATGTTGCCAGAATTGTTTAATGTATATATTTATAGCATATGTGCAGCCAAAAATGGTTTGCATAACCAATAATGAATTTTGACTGTGAGCATGTGCGACAATTAATGGTCCCTCACTGCATGAATGTAGGCCGATCTTTCATGAGGGCTGTTTATTACCACACTGACTTCTAGTCAGAGCTCATTATTCCAAACACACTCCATGAGCCCTTCTCTTCTGTTGTCTGTGTGGGATTTAAATTATTAGCATGGAAGAAAGCTAAGGAACAAAGTCTTCTTTGTTTTCTCAGAATTTGGCATATTATGGCATTTTTTTGTGAAAATAAAAAAAATTATTATTTCTGCTAAAATACATGAGAGGTTCCAGGAAGAAGTGAATTTGGAGACTGTTACAGTCTCTTGTTCTCTTCTCCGTCTAGCTAAACATAGGCACACCAAATTGAATTTTCCTCATACAAGCCAATCAGCCAACTAACTGGGACATTCATGTGACAAATAAGAGCCTATTTAAATGCCTTCAAATTTCATTCTTTCAAAATAAAAACAAGTTATGATGTTCACCCAGATTTAAAATGCCTCAAACTACCGATCCTGAAATGAAAAATACAGCTAATGTGACTGTCCCAACTAACGAGGGCTATTTTTTAGTGTGTTTTTCACAACTTTGCTGAAGTATAATTTATATGGCCAATAACTGGCTAATTTGGAGTTTCACAAATTTTGTCCAATGTAGAAAACCCTTGTGATCACCTCCACATGAAGACACAGGAATTTCTGTATCTATATCCAGGTTCCATCATTGGATTCTTAAGTCCTTGTAAAAGCAATCATTTTATTGAAGGAAACAGATACAGCTTTGTAAGACAGTTATCCTATGGGAACAAAGCTTGGTGGTATTTTTCTCCAACCCTTACAATCTGACACTTTTCCAATCTTACTATCCAAGCTCCATTCCTATTAACCTGATGCCATTCCTGTTAACAAACACCACAACAAGGCATTGTAACAACCACAGTACACAATTAAAATAGATAAAAGTGTGGAGAAATAAATGTCTCCTGCAAATGTTTCATTCAGTAGTTAACTGACCCACGGTCCATCAAGATTTCTAAAAGTGGAAGTTAATTTAATTGGGAGCAGTCTTTTAAATATAAATTCTGTGAAAAGAGTTCAAGTCCCAACTCTATTAATTGAATTGATCTGGAAAAGTTTGTCAGATGGGACTAAACTAAATCCTAGCCTATTGTTTAGGAATCTTTGCCATAAAACATCTACTAAACAAACAAACTGGACCAATACCAAAGAGAGAAAGAGAGA